CAGAGGTCCCCCTCTCCTTACTTGGCCTACTCTCGTTTTCCTCTGCTATGTCCAGTCGGCAAAAAGCTCTCTGGGGGGTTTTATTGTCCTCAAAGCCCTGACGGAGCACCTCTGGAGAACTGTCTCACAGTGTAGCTACTCTGAAATATGAAGCAGGAATGGCCAGGACTAATCACTGACTCCGCCCCCTTTGTCTGTAACCCTGCTCACAAATCCCAGGGGACCCCATGAAAGTGCCCCCCCCCCCCAAAGTATCACCTTCCACCTGCGGCCCCCCCTTGGGGCAAAATGCAGACATATGAGACGAGGGCCTGGGCGGGAGGCCGGCGTGTGTGACGCGGAGACGCCCTGCATGGCCCCACTCTCCTGGTAGGGCGAGGGTGGAACCCAGAGGACCAGGGACCCGGGGGGGGGGGGGTGTTCAAGCGCCTGACTCACTGTTTGGGTGTCGGAGGTTTATTTAAAGCAGTGGCTCATTAATAAACATCCACATTTCCAGTCTGAGCGAATCAGATGAAGGTTCCCCAAATCCAGCACGAATCAGATGAAGGTTCCCCAAATCCAGCGGGCCCTGGAGACCTGGCACCTTCCGATAGGGAGGGGACACCATGCCGAATGGGGTTACCGTCTCCTCTGCACCCCCACCCCCCCCCCAACCTGGTGCAGACATTCAGCTGGGGCAGGAATCCCAGGGCAGAGACCCTCACGCTTTTCACTCCGCGTTCTCATGATCCATGGCATCTGGAACCCCACCTAAATAAATGCTAACTGGAAATGGAGGGTCACCCCTTCTCTTTCTCTACAAAAATCTGACTCCAGATATTTTAAGTGGGGGGGGGGGCGGTCCCCAGGACAGGCCTGAACATGCATGTCACCCTGACTCCCCACAGAGGAACCTTTCATTTGAAGAGCATCTAAGCTGTGTTTCTTGATATCTTTGCTTTTTATTGCCCTTTGTCTGATATTAGAACTTACATTTAACATTAAACATAAATTATATAGGACACATGAGAACCTAAGCCATGACCCAAGCCTTCGCAGTAGGAGTCCTGGATCAGCCCAGGCCAGCTGCTAGATACAGACAGACAGACAGACAGACAGACAGACAGACAGACACTTATACACAGACAGTCACACACACACACACATATCTGTGGGTTCCACATTTTCAGTGTTGGCAGCAGCTGGTTAGTTTGTAACAACGTTACTCAGTGCATGGGAATTGCAACAGCTGCAAAGTAAAGAGGGGAGAAGCGTGTGTGTGTGTGTGTGTGTGCGCACGTGCGTGTGTGCATATGTTTACCCTACATGTGCGTGCGTGTGTGTTTCTGTGTGTGTCTGTATGCGTGTGTGTTTGTGTGAGTGTGCGTGTGTGTGTCTGCCCAGATGGTGCATGTGAAAACAGAGAAGTTATATTATTAAATTACTGAGACAAAGCCACCCTCCGCTTTTCTAACCAACAAGGCAGACCAAAAATGTCCTATCTACAACCCCGTGTCCAAAAAAGTTGGGACATTGTGTAAAATGTAAATAAAAACAGAATGCCATGATTTACAAATCATATAAGCCCATATTTTATTGAAAATAGAAGACAACATATCAAATGCAAGACTGAGAAAGTTGTTCAGTTTCAGCATTTGAAACACATTTGAATTACATTTTACACAGCATCCCAACTGGAGTTCTATCTATCTATCTATCTATCTATCTATCTATCTATCTATCTATCTATCTAATCAGACCTAACAAACATACTCAGATAGTGATGTTGCATATAACTCCTGTTTACTACACATGTAGTACAGTTTATCCTTTCTTCATGGCCACTGGTAAGCACTGAAAAAATGCGCACATAATCCCTCTAGTGGCCCAAAAGAGACATACACTGACTTCGTTCACTGTGTTCCCATCTATCCAAACATCCACGCCACTACAGCGCCCGCAGCAACAGTGAATCTATAGCCCATGCAAGGAAACACGGGGGAAGGCGGAGGGGAAAAGCATGAATGCTAGTTCATTATGGGGCTCAGGCACACTTACACACTTGTGGGGATGCAAAACGAAACTAAAGTTAGAGATGGCGTGGGGAGAACATACAAACTGCACACGCAGAGATCAAGTTAAAGTTAGAGATGGCGCGGGGAGAACATACAAACTCCACAGGCAGGGAGTAAGTGCAGCATTTAAAGCCCCAAAGACGCGTGAGGGAACGGGGCCGCCCACTGAGCCGCTGCGACGCCCTCAAATCAATGAAGGGAATAGAAAATTTACATGTATTCATGATTTATTTTATATGGTCATTTTAAGCAAAAGAAGAAGAAGAAGACGAATTTACGTGCATACTGTACTTCTCAAGAAAATTAAACCAAATGACAATTTAATTGTTACATTAGAGACCGCGTGCAAGTTCCTCCATATTTATGTTTCATCCGGCAGTCCAAAAGCATGTCCTCTACGTCATTAGATGTCTCTAAATTGCCTTTAATGTGTCATTTTGTGCATGGTGTCTGTGACGTTACAGCATTCAGCCCTGGGTGCCCCCCCTCTTCCAAAAAGGCTCCAGGTTCACCGTAACCCTGTACCGAAAACACTGTCTCAGTTGCCTTCTCTACTAGAAGATGAGGGAAGTATCACGGATATCAGAATAAATGCTCAAACGGCTTTCCATATGCATGCAACACTTGTGACACACTGGTGCAGTGAGGCATAAAGGAACAAAACACGCGACGTGCAGCGCACTGCTGTGTCTTTTCGGTTTGAACCTCCCTGTGTAACCAGCGTGCGCTGGTATTTTATGCAAATATGTAGGCTGCATCTCTGTGGCCGGTACCGATTACTTTACTACTGTGAGAACTGGGTACGTGCCCCGTGATCAGGTAAAGTTAGCGTACAGTGTACATCTGCATAAGCAGGAAGTCAAATTTACGAGTGAAAAGGGGAGCCGATTATTCTATTATCACCAGCAGGGGTAGCTGTTTCCTTGCTCTCCGCATACCCGTAAATCCAAATAGAAGTACACGTACTTCATATGCTATACCTATTCCTTTCCCTCAGTCCAAAATCAGTCAAATTAATTCACCACAACGCACAGCAGAATAGGGTATTTCAGACAAATGTTTCTCGGCGTCCAACACCTAAACACACTGAACACAGAACCTTCACTGGATAAACGTATTACAGTTTTTCTCGATTGCTAAAACACTATAACCAATCTTTTGAACTAAAATTTCAAAACCATAATGCTATTTTTCAAAAAGCACACCCATTTCCCTGAACTATAAACACTATTCCCCTGCTTTAACACATGAGTCAAATTTGGTGAACTGTTACTGCAAAACTCTACACACAAATGTCTAAATTTTTCAGTGCTTACACCATGTGGTCATTTAGAAAGCACTAGCATTCAATAATGTTAACTTAAGTCAGCAGAGTTTAAGCTCAGTTAGCACACAATTAACCAAGTGGAAACACTAGGAGTCAAAATTTATCACACACCAATCAGAAACTTTGATGGATAGATAAAAGGGCCAAAGTCAGCTCATTCAGGTTTGAAACAATGGATCCAAAGAGATGCAAAGGAGGAGGTCGAGGAAGAGGAGTAGAAGGAGGTCCAGGACATCAGGGAGGACGAGGTGGAGGAGGAGGTGGAGGAACATAATTGGCCATCGGGCTATTGTAAATGTCCCTAGTCAGCGTGGAGGGAATGTCACTATGTGCGCAGCCATCAGCCAATGAGGGGTACTCCACCACCATGCCATTCTAGGACCCTATAACACTATGCTTCTCCTTGCTTTTCTTGATGGTCTAAGACAACATATGTTCCAGCTGGACTACAGGGAACCAACACAGCCAGAGCAGCCTCACTACGTTGTTGTAGTGAGGCTGGATAACGTCAGCTTCCATCGCGCTGCTCTGGTTCATGACTGGTTTACCAATAACCCAAGGTTTTCTAACATCTTTCTGCCTGCATACTCTCCCTTTCTAAACCCGATAGAGGAGTTATTTTCAGCATGGTGGTGGAAAGTGTACGACAGAACCTTATGTCCGTGTTCACCTCCTCCAGGCCATGGAAGAAGCCTGCCTAGACATACTGTATCAGTAGATGCATGCCAGGGGTGGATCAGGCATGCATGAGGATTTTACCCCCGCTGCCTGGCTAGGGCCAATATAACCTGTGATGTGGAAGAGATTCTCTGGCCTGATCCAGACCAAAGACAGGATGCTGAGGTGGAATAATGTTTTTGGTGTGTGTTGTACTGTATAGTACATGAATAAAAATGTGTCACTGTATATACATTGGTTGCGTCTTTTGTGTTCATCGTGTGAAAAGATTTTTGAGGGGAAGAACCACAAGCAACATAACTTGCCAGTTTTGGCAATATTGTTTTTAATTTATTGCACCAATGTGTAAGACTATGTTGTAGTGTGTGTGTTTTTGAGGCCTTGTGTGTGATGTCTGTGGGCAAAGTTTGGTTTTTCAGCAACAGTGAATGGTTTTGAGTGTAGAGCTTCATTTTGACCTGAAAATACGATGTTTGGGAAATTGGGTGAGACGTTATGGATTTGTGTTTACTGTTTTGAGAATATGAGGCATAGTTTCAAGAAGTGTGTTTAAGCAATCGAGAAAAACTGTAATCGCTAGGTAATCTATCTATTTTGTGCGTATGATTCATTCCATTGGAGATTTAATTGTTAAAAAAATACCCATAAATAGCTTGATATATAATAATTAATAACAGTAGGATATGTTGGGACAATGAATCCGCAGAAAGGGAAATGCTGAACAATGTGATGAGGCAGCTGATCACAAAATTGTGAAGAAGTTTGAGAACCTCAACTATACATTTTTTAAGGCATAATATAACATAGGCTGGTCCATCACATATCTGACTGTCTCACTAGTAAACCGCCGGTCCATCGCATTAACCAGAAGGTGACACGTCCCACCCCCTGGGGGCATTAAGCCGCCCTCTTTCAGTGTCGAATGTGTCACAGTTTCTTTACTATTTCAGGTAAATCTTTAAAAGCATCGAAACGGAGGTGCCTTTTTATACCCGAGACTGTACTGAAGACAGCTTGAAGGGTCGATCAGCTTCGTTAGCTCGCACTCTCGCTAGGAAACATGCATTAAAATGTACTTCCCCTTCTTGGAAGCTGTGAAAGCCTTCCCCCAGGGAGGCTGCTTTCGGTGAAGCGTCGCACCGCGCAGAGACGCCGATCTGCGGCACACACGCCTGAATATACCGCAGCTATGAAGACTGGGACTTTCAAGCACCCTGCATAATATTTTGTTTATCTTGTTTATCGTTCATTGCTGATGTTTTATATCCACCGGCGTTGTTGAAAGTTTAAGAAGAAACGCACGGCCGTTAGGTGATGTCCTGCGTCCTCGGCTGGCAGTGAACCTGAGCTCTTCGGGCACCAACATGAAGTTCGACGGGTACCTGAAAGTGAGGATTGGAGAGGCGGCGGAGCTTAAGCCGACCACCTATTCCCTTCGCCACTCCAAGGTTTTTAACAAGAACTCCTTAGCCATGGATCCTTACATTGTGGTCAAGGTGGACGATTATAAGATCGGGCAGACCCACACCAAGCAGAAGACCACCAGGCCGACGTTCAACGAGGAGTTCTGCGTGAACGTGCGCGGCGGCCAGGCGCTGGAGCTGGCCGCCTTCCACGAGACGCCGATCGGCTACGACGACTTCGTGGCCAACGCTGTCGTCCAGCTGGAAGACCTGCTCAAATTCTCAGCTATGAATGAGACCTACGAAGGATGGGTGAGCTGAGGTTTTCAAACACACGGAAAGGCTGGAGTTGACAAAAAAATCAATACATTTTTATGAGGGGATCTGAAATGCCTAAAATTTAAGAAAATATTTGAAGAAAATAACTATATTTCTGTAAGTAATTAAAAGTGACTGAATATATTTGATATAAAAGTTTATAGCCTAAGTTAACTAGCTTCCAAGTGGAGAAATGTTTTATTGTATATGCGAAGAGTGACGTTACCTGGTATCTCGCAGCGCGATTACACCTGTAAGACCGAGAACTTCTCTTCTGTATCTGCCGCTTGTGCACTGGTGGTTCGTCTGGACTGCGACCGCACACTTTTGAAGTCGTGTAGAAGGGGCTTGTGCAAATCTGCCACCAACACAAGCGGACGCAGTAAAAATGCCACCTTTTAAATAATGTCTGGAAAACGGTAAACTATAACTATTGGTCACATTTCCTGTGTGTTACAATTAATTAATTTTACTTTATCAACTCTCCCCTCCACCCTCAAAAACATACTGGATATTGAAAAAAATTTGATGTTATTTAAGGTGGATCATGGCACTTTTACCTTCAGAATTATTATGGGGCTATAATAGTTTTCCACCAGCAGACACTGAAAATTTAACTATTGTTTCATCATAATTCACATATGTCATGTAGCCTATGTTGTGTTAAGTAACCATTTAATACCCACTTCTATATACTGAGGGCCGTACAGGCTGGTGTGTAGGTTAGGTGTCCAGAAGCTCATGGGATCGAATCCTTATCCGTGACTCTTGATCCCGAGACCCTTGACCTCAACCGCTGTCTATGCCTTCCACACTTACACATCACTTTGGCTGAGGGTATCTGCTGAAACAGGCTTCCCCAGTTCCGGTCCCGTCCTCCAAAAGTGCCAACTGAAGGTGGTAGTTGGCTGCTGAGCTGAATAAGTGTGTCTGAGCAGGGAAACCTGCAAACTGTGACTGGCCCTCCAGGACCAGAATTAGTGAACTGGATGCTAAAACATAAAGGTGATGTAAAAACATTCAAATTGAAGTGAAGTTTACACACCATCGAAATTAGTCTCCAGAGTCAGCCTGATTACAGTTCAAGGTAACATTGTCTGGAGGTGTTTCACTGAGGAGAGTGCTTTGGCCTGACATCATCTCAGTATCTCATCATGTGTGAGACGCATCGTTGGCCTCAGAGCTGAGTAACTCATCAAATGACAAACAGCCGCATCTACAATCAGCATTAACGGGGTTTCCTGCTAAATGAACTGTTGGGGTATTTCGACCTCCACACAGGCATGAACGCCCACACACGGTGACACACAACACAGACACGTACCATAGTGAGATCGTTCCTGTCTGTAAATAGATTGCCCTTTGAACTTTGTCACTGCAGCTCACAATGACAGCAGGCCGAGATCTCAGACACAGAAGCAGTTTGATAGAGCAGCTTTTCTTGCCCATCTTGTCACGTCTGCTGTTTTCTCAGACTCTGTGGAAACCTGCAGGCACACACACGCTGCTTGCCGCACGTGGCGGGGGCCCTGTCCCTCGCTCCAGTGGCCCTTCGCATGGCTGAGCTCCATGTGCCCCCCCCCCCCCCCCACTTGCAGGACGCCTCTCACTTCCCCCCTCGAGAGACGCTATTATGAGTCCATCCCAGCTGTTGCGGCAGTCATGTACAGCTTCATGCACTGTGTGTTGCCTCTCGCTTTCTGCACTGCCAGTGATGCACTGCCAGTGATGCAGTCCTGATAGTCACTCATCTAAGATCTGGGCTGGGCAGATGCAAACTCAGTCCTTCACATTCTCTAGGGACAAATGTAACAAGATTAGATCAATACACCAAAAATCAGGTGGTCCACTTACAATCTCGACGATGATTCTAGCAAAGGAATAAGAATCCCTGTAACCCCAATGCTTATACTCTCTGCTGCCCATTAAGGAAGCTTTTTCTCAACAGACGAACCTACTTGTACACTGGTTTTTGTTCCAGTTGAAATATAAAGCTTAACTTCCCAATTAATAATGTCCATGATATGATTTACCTTCCATGCATGAATTTTCAGTGATCACTGATCTAGTTGGGGTCACAGTGACGGCTTAACAGTTGGGGTTAGACATCTGAGGCACCCACAGGATCACAATCATTTATGAATGCAGGGAGTTTGTCTTTGGTGGATGGTAACGGAGAGGTAGTGCAGATGTTGTGCACACAGCTCTAAGGGGAGTCAGGATCCCGGCCCACAGCCGTGAAAGTGGGTGTCGGCTCCTGGAGACGTCCTGTTCTTAGGTTCACTATGAAGCCTACGAGCCCTTGTGTCAAACATGTGACCCATCAGTTAAATGCTTAAAGTACTCAATTTATAGACTTCGGTCAGTTACTTTCCAAATTATTTATCTCTATCTAAATGAGCACAGATTGTTCTTTATTGTATAGCTTATAACTGTCAGTAATATGACATCATGCTGGAAACCTGACACGGGATCCTACTGGGTCAGTCCTTGACACAGAATCCTACTGGGTCTGTCCCCAAGATGGGATCCTACTGGGTCTGTCCCCGACACGGAATCCTACTGGGTCTGTCCCCGACAGGCGATCCTTCTGGGTCTGTCCCCGACACAGAATCCTACTGGGTCTGTCCCCAAGATGGGATCCTTCTGGGTCTGTCTCCGACACGGAATCCTACTGGGTCTGTCCCCGACACAAGATCCTTCTGGGTCTGTCCCCGACACAGAATCCTACTGGGTCTGTCCCCAAGATGGGATCCTTCTGGGTCTGTCCCCGACACAGAATCCTACTGGGTCTGTCCCCGACACGAGATCCTACTGGGTCTGTCCCCGACACAGGATCCTTCTGNTCCTACTGGGTCTGTCCCCGACACGAGATCCTACTGGGTCTGTCCCCGACACAGGATCCTTCTGGGTCTGTCCCCGACACAGAATCCTACTGGGTGTGTCCCCGACACGGGATCCTTCTGGGTCTGTCCCCGACACAGAATCCTACTGGGTCTGTCCCCGACACGGGATCCTACTGGGTCTGTCCCCGACACAGAATCCTTCTGGGTCTGTCTCTGTCTCGGACTGATAAACCCTGCTGCCATGATGAGGAGAGTCCTCTGGTGCACTGACAGCTAATGATCTAGTCACAAACACATGTACTTTCCCCACAAACTCACATCGCGCCCCAGCACTTCATCTGCTACTAGCACTGCCGCTAAACGCAGCCCTGTCACTACTTCCTTCACTGGAGGGCTAAATGCTTGAGGCTATGGGTTGTTGCACATGCAGCTGGCTGGTTTGGCTGCTTTAACGCTGTTATCATATAGTTGCCATTTTTACTGATTTACTGGCAATGGTCGCTTGGGCATAGCGGTTGGCTAACAGTTCCTTTCTGTTTGCTGGACACGTGGCTTGTGACAGAGCAGACACCCATCTAAGCGATTTCTCATTGTTGACCCTGATATCTTGATCTGTTGAACATCAAAGTGAAGATCACTGACCCACCCTAGCTGCAGCAATAGCAGGAATGTCATGTATGTGAAATGCAGTGATTGACAGCTATTAGAGCGTGTATGTCACAGGCGTGTTTACCATAAAGCACAGGACGCTAACATGGTGCCGTGTTTTCTGTATCCTTCTTATGTTAAGCTGTTCATGGCCGCATTGAGCTACAGGAGCAGAATGGCGTGATAAAGCAGCTGGCTGCGTCACTGGGGCTCAGCTGCGCTCCTTTCGGTTCTGGTGTTGGTAGTGAATCATGCTGCTTATGCTCATCACCTGCCACATGAATGCATCCCTAAGTCGGCATTGTTGCGCAGTTGCATGAATACCTGAGATTCTGCGCCTGTCATGCATGGAGATGCTTGTCTGCCAGAGTGCGGTGACTCATGCACGATTGAGACGATTTCTGTGACTAACCAATTAAGCCATGTTCCTTACCTACCAGGATGAATTTGTTAGGAGGAGGGGGGCTTCCCATTGGTGATTTGATGTTACCATGACGTCCCAGTTCAGTGTCAGAGCCCTTATGAACATGCCCTCCCACTTCATTAGCAGAGCCCTTATGAACATGCCCTCCCTCTTCATTGTCAGAGCCCTTATGAACA